AAAAAAAAAAAAAAAAAAAAGAATTACTTATAGTGAGTGTCGTCCTGCATCACCAAACAGCATCTTGGGCATCACACGGCAGCAAAGGGCTACTCGTTGGAAGACCCCGGCCCTGCTGGCTCGGCAGCTCTCGGGGCTTCGCAGGCCAGGGCTGGCTGCAGGTGGAAGGGGCCGTCGGGAGGGCAGGGAGCCTTCTTACTTGTCCCAGCTGCTCGCACGCTGTCTGGTACTCGGCACGCTGACACAGGTCCTGCACACGCTGGTACCTGGGCAGGAAGTTCTCCTCCTGGGCGTCCACTTTGTCACTGTCTCTCTTGTGTAGCAGTTTGCTGTGGGGCAGACAGCAGGAGCCACGGGGACGGCCTCTGAGCTTTGAGGAGCCTGGGAGGCGCGTGTGTCCACTTAGAGGGGACCCCCTGGCTCCGGCTTATCCTCACCGTGGAAGACACAGGGCTACCCTGTTCTGACCTGATGTTTAGGAGACTTAATATATTAGAATTTTATAAGAAACTTCCCAAACTGCATGAGTTGGCAATAAATTAAATACACGGAAGACATTGTACAGGCTGGATAGAACATGCTAAAAGGGTGCCTGTGACCTCAGACCCTGATTCTGTGTCATCTGTAGGAGCAGCGAATGGGCTCTGTGTTGAGGGGTCTTTGGGCACAGCTGCAGAGCCACTGCTGGAAGGTAGCACCATAGCTCTATTCTCCCTGCTGCCCTGGCGGGAGGTCCCGAACACCGTGATGGGTGGGGCTACAGCAGCTTCCTGCGGGGAGGGAGGGAGTTGGGCAGGGGTGTCCCTCCCAGGACCCAGCACTCACCCTCTCTCCACCAGGAAGGAGTTCCGCCAGACCTTCAGCTTTTTCAAATGAAACCTGGAAAAAAAGCACGGCTGCTGCTTCTCAGCTTTGTGAGGGCTTACCACGACCCCCGATGCCCCCAGGAGCAGGGATGACGCCCACAGTCAGCCTCGGTTTCCAGTCAGCCTGGACAGCAATTGTGGTGAGCGTGTCCAGCCAGGCACTGGGGAGGCTTCTGCACCCTTCTCCGAGTTGAGCCACCCCTTCCCCCAGAGACTTGGGTCTGGAGGCACGTGGGGCAGAAATGACCTAGGTCAGTCACTCTAAGTCCCACCCACGTAACCGTGTGTGCACACAGGAAGCCCAACGGCTGCCCCGGAGCTGGAAGATCTGTCTTCAGTTCAGCGCCAGGTCAGCGGCTGTCTTGGTGTTAGATTAATGGCAGAGTTTTGGGGGTGTTTTCTTCTTGAATGCTTTGCTGTTGCACGTATGTAATTTGTGTGTTTCATCCACTGCCACTTGGTCATTTCCATTTCCTAGGTGGGCACTCTGAAGTCGAGAGGGGAAGCTTCCACCCTGTCCCCTGACCCCCAGGTGGCCTGGCTCCCAGGCGGCCAGTGTCCCCAGACGTGTCCATTTTATACCATTACAGCTCACCTGGCCTCAGTTGGGGTTGGAGCCTCAATGGACGTAGTCCCCCTACAGGGCAGCCAGATGTGGGCACACAGTGCCCACCTGGCTGGAGCCTCTGGGAGGCCACTGAGGAAGGAAGGGCTCCGCTGCCAGAGGTGCAAGCCAGGAGCTGACATAGCACCTGGAGGCCAGGAACCTGGTGGCGGTGACAGTGCTGGCCACCAGATGTCACTGTGGCCACACTGGCACCCCTGCCCTGCCTTAGCTCGCCTTCCACCTGTGTGACTTTTGCTCACCCTCACGGTTCCTATTCTGCCTCTTTGGACACCTAGGAATATGTTCCCATCACACCCTCTAGCGTTAAAGCTATGGGGCATGGCGAGTCAGTGTCTGAATTCCTGGAGCTACATCCAGACTTGCTGTGAGATCTCCGACAAGTCACTCAATCGTTTTGGGATTCAGATTCCAAACTGGTAAAATGGGGATGATACGGATGCCCAGCTCACTGGCTTACCGTGAGGATCAAACTCATAGAATCCCCGCACAGTCCTCAGAACAGTGCCTCACACAGTCGATGCGTAGTCAGCACTAACTCCTACCATCACTGCTGCTGTTATTATTTCAAGCTCTGTGTAATTTTAGCTCCGAGAAGGTCCCCAACTGGTCACCTTGGCCAAATTCCAAATGGGAAGACAGAGAAGATCACGCATCTCTCCCACAGCAGGTAAGTGGTTGGGGTGGGGGGACCTGAGAACCCCAGCTCCTGACCCTTGGGGACCCCATGTTCTAGACCCACAGGGTTTTGCCCTGACTTCCTGCAGGTCAGGAGCCCAGTGTCCAGCCCCACCAGCACCAGCCCCGCTCCTTCCTCACCGATTCATCGGCTGTTCCGAGTCCAGCAGCTTGAGGATGGATTTCCCGTCCATATCCTCGGGTATGGCCAGGCCTGCAATGTCCAGGATGGTGGGAGCCAGGTCAATGTTGAGGACGATGTGGGGATTCCTGGGGGAGGCAGGAGATCAGGGACTCAGCCACCCGGTGGTGGTGCCTCAGCCTCACTCGGGGGTTGGGGGACGGTGGTGGGCAGCAGGTTGCAGGGGACTGACACCTGTAGGAATGGAAGCTGCGGTCTGGCACCTCGACCCTTAGCAGCTCCCCGCTGTGGCTCAGATTCAGCGGAACCACCATTCTCCACTTGCCCCCCTTAGCTTCTGCACCTCAGACATGCCATGGCATGAGCTGACAGCCCCACCCTGTCCCCTTGCTGCCCTCCCTGCCCCCACTTCCTGAGCGAAGGCAACCCACCTTGACAGCCAGCCCAAATCCTGGCCCTTCCTGAGCCCTTCCCCTGGACCTCTGGGGCACCGCTGGTCCTCACTGTCCCTCAACAGCCCAGGCACAGCCCAGCCTCAGGGGCTTCTTCTTTACTGTTCCCTGTACCGGGAATGTCCCTTCCCTGGAGATCGGTGTGCCACCGTCCCTCCCCCCTTTAGTTCTTTGCTCTATTATCAAGGAGGCCCATGACAGGCTTCGGTGGTCCCTACCTGTCCATGGTGATCACACCTTAATGTGAACCCCTCACCTTGGGTGTGGATGAACCTGGACCTGCTGCCAACCAGTGGGACATGGCGAAGGTGATGGGCTGTCACTCCCATGGCTGTGTTATGAGATAGGCATCTCTATCCTGCCAGCAGTCTTGCTCTGGTCTCTCTCTCTCCTTACTGGCTTTGAAGAAGCAAGTCACTCTAAATCAGCAGCTAGACTGTGAGCAGTTTGGGAGGCAGAGAGCCTGGGTTCAAGTCCTCTGCTTGCATTGGACCTGCTCCAGGAGCAGGGACGAGGATGCTCCCCAGTCAAGCCTCTGGATGAGACCGCAGCCCTGGCCAGCACCTTGATTTCTGCCTAAGCAGAGGACCCTGCAAGGCTGGGCCCAGGCTTCTGACCCTCAGACAATGTAAGTTTGTATGTGTGTGTTGTCTTAAGCTGCTGAGTTTGTGGCAGTTTGTACTGCAGCACAGATACCCAACGCAAGGCCCCTCCTGAGGACCCTACTTGGAACTGCACCCGCTCCCCGACCTCCCAGGTTTACCTTTCTCCTGAAGCTTTATCACCATCTCATGAGCTATAGATTTTACTTATTTCTCTGGTTTATTGTCTATTGCCCAGTTAGACTCTAAGCTGCAGGAAGCCTGGCTCAGGTGGTCACTTCTGTATCCCCAGAACTTATACCCTTAGACACACAGTAGCTACTCACTAAACATTGGCCACCTCTTCTGGCTCCTTTTTTTTTTTGAGACGGAGTCTTGCTGTGTCACCCAGGCTGGAGTGTGGTGGCGAGATCTCAGCTCACTGCAACCTCCACCTCTTGGGTTCAAGCAATTCTTATGCCTCAGCCTCCCAATAGCTCGGATTACAGACACGTGCCACCACACCTGGCTAATTTTTGTACTTTTAGTGGAGGTGGGGTTTCACCATGTTGGCCAAGCTACTCTTGAACTCCTGACCTCAGGCGATACATCTGCCTTGGCCTCCCAAAGTGCTGGGATTACAGGCATGAGCCACCTCGCCTGGCTCAGTTTCTGGCTGATGGCATTCCCAGTGTAGGGTAAGGGACTTGAGGGGTGTGCCCAGAACAGGGTCCAACACCTGTGGAATGAATGGTGGGCACACGTGCCGTCAGGGCGCCTGAGTGCCTTCCCTGCCAGTTCCCTGGCAATCAGCGCAGGGCCTAGGTCCTAGAGTTTCAGTCATCTTTAACCCTCCAACTCTCCCCAGTCCAGTGCCCTGTGAACACTGGACAGGCTGCCAAACCTGTGTGCGGCTGGGGAAGGTGGGCTGAAGCTGTGTCACGGGGGCTCAAAGGCCAGCATGAGGCGGTAAAACTGAATCTGGAGGCGAGGGAGTTGGGAAGGCTGCTGAGTGAAGGGCGCTCTGCCGAACCCCGCAACCAGCCACCGATGGTGCTGAGCTTGTCCACTGGCCCCGCTCCCCCAGGCTCGGCAGGAGGAGGACAGCGGTTGCTTTTCCTCACCAGCACCCATGCCTTGATCTGTGTTGCACCTTCTAATTCTGGAGAAACTACCTGACCCCATTCAGAATCCACTGCCCGATGCACTCAGTCTGGTCACTCAAGGGTTTCTGTCACCTCTGACTACAGTGATTGGTTCAGGGAAGGACAGGTGACCTAAGTCTGGCCAGTGGGAACTAGCCTCAGGTCTTCTGTTCAAAGCAGTCTGGCTTCCTCAACGGGATGGTTTACTGTCTATTGCCCAGTTAGACTCTAAGCTGCAGGAAGCCTGGCTCAGGTGGTCACTTCTGTATCCCCTGAACGCCTGGAGTTGCTGACTCTGCCATAAGGAGAAAAACCTGCCTGAGAATGAAGCCAATTCAGCGGAAATGGGACTGAGAGATAAGAAATGAGAGCTTCCCAATGGCATGGTAAGACTGCTGGATCCAGCCATGCCTGAGGCCGGAGCTGTGCATGGAATTTTCAGTTACTGTAGTTACTACGTTCCTTTTATCTCATTCAGCTCATCTGGTTCAAAGGTCGTTTCTGGTTGCAACCAAAGAAGCCCTGGCTGACAGATACTGTGTGTCTTTGGTTCCAAGCCTGACTTGGCACTGTCTTTTTCTTGACCACGTGAGATGTGGTTTTGGGTCCTATGAGTCAGATCACAGATTCCGAGGCTGACCAAACCCCCACGTCAGTGTTTGCAGAGCCCTCAGTGGGTCAGATTCTTTCTGTTCATGGGGATGGGTCGAGGTTTCTGAGAGGTGTGGCAGAGGGGGATAGAGACTGCCTGGCTTCAAACCCCAGCCCCTCCCTGACTTGCTATGTGAACTCAGGCAACTTAACCTCTCTGTGCCTCTGTGTGCTTGGGTGTAAAAGAGTTAATATGAACATTCACATCACAGAGTTGTTGTGATGCTGAAATGAATTATTATTAATTTTCTTTTAAGATGAAGCCTCACTCTGTTGCCCAGGCTGGAGTGCAGTGGCGCGATCTTGGCTCACCACAACCTCTGCCTCCTGCATTCAAGTGATTCTCCTGCCTCAGCCTCCTGAGTAGCTTGGATTACAGGTGTGCAGCACCACATCCAGCTGATTTTTGTATTTTTAGTAGAGGCAGGGTTTCACCATGTTAACAGTTTGGTCTTGAACTCCCGACCTCAAGTGATCTGCCCACCTGGGCCTCCCAAAGTGCTGGGATTACTGGTATGAGCCATCGCGCCCAGCCTGCAATGAAATATTACGTAGTTCTTTTTTTTTTTTTTTTTTTTTTTTTTTTTGAGATGGAGTCTTGCTCTGTCACCCAGGCTGGAGTGCAATTGCGTGATCTCTACTCACCACAACCTCTGCCTCCTGGGTTCAAGTGATTCTCCTACTTCAGCCTCCAGAATAGCTGGGATTACAGACGCATGCCACCCCGCCTGGCTAATTTTCTGTATTTTTAGTAGAAATGGGGTTTCAACATGTTGGCCAGGCTGGTCTTGAACTCTTTACTTCGTGATCCACCTGCCTTAGCCTCCCAAAGTGCTGGGATTACAGGCGTGAGCCACCGTGCCTGGCCTATTACATAGTTCTTAGAGCAGGCCTTGAAGCGTAGGCACTCCACACGCATGGGCTGTCATTACTACAGCCCCTATTCCAGCGGGGATGCTGAGAGCCAAAGACAGGCATGATCTGATGAGGTCAACAGAGAGTCATCGCTTTCTCTGGACTTGAACTCATGCAGCCTGCCTCCTGGAATTCTCGCAATAGGTCCAAGGCAGTGGGAACATGTCAGTCTAGAATTCCACGCTGCACTGTCAATGCCTTTTCAGGAGGAATTCTGCAGCCAGCCCTGTGTGAGTGCTGGGTCTGGGCAAGGGTAGAAGTCAGGCTGAATGAGAATCTCAATAGCAACACATCTGCTTTTCAAAAGACCCATTTGAGCCAGTTCTTCATAATATCCCAGCTGATCCAAGGAAGCTACTGCCATGAATACCAGCCTGTCTCCTTCCCTGCCCCAGACGTAGCCATTTTGCTGCCAGAATGTGTCATCTCAAAGGTGAACCCAAGGAGAATGGCTGGCTGAGGGCTGCGGCCCACGTGGTCCTCCAGGAAGGATGGGAGGGAAAAGCGTTTCCATTTGTGCTGCTGCCCGGAGCTGGCTCAGCTGATCCCGGCTGACAACCAGCTGCCTGTGTCGAGGTCCGGGGTTGCTCTCTGACAACCTCCAGCCCTCTTCAATGACTTCCCAGCCCAGACCAGAAATCCAAGTGCCATTCCCACCCGCTGGTGACACGCGTGTGTGTGCACACATGTACACAGCCCAGCTCCCTGGATTTCCTGGCAGACAGCCCTACCACAATCTGTTTCCACAGGTGCTAATGCTCCTGGCCTCTCCTTCCCCACCAGAGGGGCATAAAATGCATGACATAATTGCTTTCCTTTGGCCCTGCGGTCCACCTGCCAAAATCAAGAGCCACCTGGGGTGTGGCTTGGGTTTTGTTGGCACGCTTGAAGCCCCAAGCAGAGCCCGGAGGCCTCTGTGGGTCCCTGGGAGGTGACACACTTACAGAGAGCCAGCTTCCACGTTGGGGCCCCTCACGTAGAACGGGACCCTGATGTCGAACTCATACGGCATGGACTTCCCCTTCACCAGGCCAAACTGGCCGATGTGGTAGCCATGGTCAGCAGTGTACACGATGTACGTGTTGTCCAGCTCGCCCGTCTCAACCAGCATGTTGTAAATCTGCAACACAGGCAGGAGGTGGGGGGTGGTGAGGACTGGGTGACCAGCCGCTCCAACCCTGGGTGACAGACGCTTGAGATCTCAGGCCCCATTCCTCCCCTGCTTCAGGTTTTTGCTCAACTTCCCCAGGGGCTGTCCCTTGATAACGGCACCCTCCTACCTGCTGTCACTCCCTGCCCCGCTCTCCCCTCCACGGTTCTTCATGGCACTTCTCAGCCTCCATCTCATATTTTTTGTGAGATGGAGTTTCGCTCTTGTTGCCCAGGCTGCAGTGCAATGGTACGATCTCGGCTCACTGCAACCTCCACCTCCCGGGTTCAAGCAATTCTCCTGCCTCAGCCTCCCAAACAGCTGGGATCATAGGTGCGTGCCACCACGCCTGGCTAATTTTTGTATTTTCAGTAGAGATGGGGTTTCTCCATGTTGGTCAGGCTGGTCTTGAACTCTTGACCTCAGATGATCCACCCACCTCGGCCTCCCAAAGTGCTGGGATCATAGGTGTGAGCCACGGCGCCCGGCCTCTTTTACTTATTTGTGGATTGTCTGTGTCCCTGCCTTGGCATGCTGCCTCATTAGGGCAGAGACGTTTGTTATCTTGTTCCCTGCCTGCTGTATCCCATGTCACCAGCACTCAATAAATGCTATCGGACGGACGGATGAATGGAAGATACTGGGATAGTTTCATTCCTGTGGCAGGAGCTTGCAATCCGGAAGGGTAGCGTGTGGCAGAACGTTCTGCGTTGGTGGCCGTGTTAATGTCTGTGCTGTCCGACAGGTGGCCTCCAGCCACCTGAACCTACTAAGTATGTGAAATGAGGCTTGTGTGACAGAGGAACTGACTTTAAATCGTTACCCTATCGAGTTAAATAGCCATGGATAAATACAATGTGACAATACCCATACAACGGGATATTATCCAGCAATAACAGGGAACGGAGGACTGATTCATGCATCACCAGGGGTGAGCCTTGCACACACGACACTGAGTGAAAGAGGCGGGACACAGAGGCCACAGCAGGTGCAATTCCATTTATAGGAAATGTGCAGAACCAAATCTATAGAGACAGAAAGAGATCACCAGTTGTCTGGGGCTGGGGGGTGAGGGAGATTTAGTGGGCATGGCTAAGGGCTGTGAGGTTTTTCTTTGGGGTAGCCAAAATGCCCTAGCGTGGGTGTGGTGACGGTTATCCAACTCTGGGTATGTGAAAACCACAGAACTGCACAGTTTTTAATTGGCTGACTTGTATGGTATGTGAATTACATCCCAGTAAAGCTGTTCAAAAATGTAAATAGCAGGGAAAAAAATGTAAGTAGCATACCTGGCTGCCGTACGGGGCAGCACAGATCGAGAATGTTTCATGAATGAAGAGGCTTTTGTCTGGATTGCTCCAAGCCGTTCCCCAGGTCTAGCATGAGGCCTGCCTCTCCATTCTGCCTTTGAGTTCCATTCCTCCAGGAAAAACCTGAAGGGCTGGGAGGTTTCAGGCCGGCCCGGCCACCCGCAGAGGCATGCAGGGGACACCTACCGTCTCCATGGAGTCGTCCACCGACATGAGGGTCTGCAGGCGCTTCCGCTGCAGCATGTTGGTGAATTCCATGTGGATGGGCTTCATGGGCCCCGTGTAGCGCATGATCCAGTGTTTGTCCGGGTTGGGTGCGTAGTTGTAGCTAGGCGTGCTGGTGGGCAAGGACATACCCATCGGTCAGGCTGGGAAAGGGTGGACCCAGCCCGGTCCCTGCCAGACCAGCCCAGAGGAGCAGCCTCCCTGTGCTGTGTCTGCAGCTCAGGGCCAGGCGTGCTCCCCTGGTGGGAAAGGGGACACTGGCATGTCAGGGGCTTTTCCAAACTCCATTTCAGTGTTTCTCCACGTGTGAGGTATTCACGCGAGAGGCTCCTAAGAGGCACAGCGTGATGGGATCTTGATTGGCAAAGTGAGACTGTGCCCTGTCGGCTCCCTCAGGCCAAAGTCTCGGTCTGGTGCTAGTCTGTCTTGAACACCTCTCTAGACTTTGCTCATCTCCCTTTTCAAAAAAAGGAAGAAAATCAAGTTCAGAGTGTTCATCAGGAGCCAGCACCCAACTCGAATTCCGTAGCATTGCTTTGCGTACCTTGTACCTATTTTTGGTAGATGGCACTTGCCTTTGGTGAATGGCAGATTGCAGTTATTGTGGCTAAGGAAGGATCACAGAATATCCTTTTGCAATAGATTTAGTTTAAAATAATGGAAATTGATTTAAAAAATTAAATAAGTTATAGTTATACGTTCAAAGCCAAAATTGTGAGGAAGGACCTGAACATGTACATTTGGGATATGCCACATTCTTTTTTTTTTTTTTTTTCCATGATCTTGGCTGACTGTAGCCTCCCGAGTAGCTGGGATTACAAGCACCCACCAACACGCCTGACTAATTTTTGTATTTTTAGTGGAGATGGGGTTTCACCATCTTGGCCAGGCTGGTCTCAAACTCCTGACCTCAGGTAATCCACCTGCCTCAGCCTCCCAAAGTTTTGGAATTACAGGCATGAGCCACTGTGCCTGGCATGCTGCTTAATCTTGCAGCAGGAGTGTGCTGGGCAAAGCTCTGTCTGAGCACCTGGGACATGAGAGACTGAGGGACCCCAGGGCAGCCGGCCATACCAGCTGCTGGGGTACTAGCCCCAGCTCTGTCTCTGGCCAGTTAGTTCCCTCCTAAGGCATCAGTTCCCTCACTTCCTACCCAAGGAGAACACAGACAGTGCCAGCTCCCAGGATGGCTGTGAGCACTGAGGGAGAGGCTATAGGGGAGCCCTTCCAACCACGCCCATTGCATGATGACTGCTCGGGAGAGGTTATCACTGGCATGTCCCTTTGTCATTAGCAATCACAGGTGACCCCACGGCAGAAGTCAGTTACACTGGGTCTGTCACTCTGTGAGACAGTGGGCAGGTCCTCAAACTTCTCTGACCTTCTATGTTCCCTTGTTAGTCAATGAGACACTAAACTCAGACCAGGGGAGTCATCATGACCAAACCAAGGGCACCTCCTTGTCACCTCAGCTCATGCTGGGCCCTACATCTGAGTTACTGAAAACCCAGCATGCGGGGGTCTTCTGGGTGGGGTGCATCACTGACAGAAAGCACTGTTTAAAGTCCCACAAGGCCAGGCACGGTGGCTCATGCCTGTAATCTCAGCACTTTGGGCGGCTGAGGTGGGTGGATCACTTGAGGTCGGGAGTTCGAGACCAGCCTGACCAACATGGAGAAACCTCATCTCTACTAAAAAAGAAAAAAAAAACCTAGCTGGCTGTCATGGCGCGTGCCTGTAGTTCCGGCTACTTGGGAGGCTGAGGCAGGAGAATTGCTTGAACCCAGAGGCGGAGGCTGTGGTGAACCGAGATTGCACCAGTACACTCCAGCCTGGGCAGCAAAAACAAAACTCCATCTAAAAAAAAAAGGCCCCACAAAGCACGGGTCTCCTCGCCCTGGGCCTGATGATTCTTGAAGACTAGGCTCCCTGCGAATCTTACCCCTCTCTCCAGGCAAGGCTGAAGATAAAGGCTGAGTTTCTACTGCTTTTCACGGGGGTATTCAAGGGGCAAGGAGCTTCCGGGAAGAGGAGGAAAAGCAAGCCTGGTCAGAGCAGGGCACTGACTCGTCTCCCTCTGGCCTGCCACGTCAGGACTTCAGCAGCGCCTCAAATATCACAATCATCCGGGACAGAAACTGTGATGCTGCCGTTGGTTGGCGTGGCAGCTGTGGACACCGTTGCTTTGTAAGGTGGGAGGTGAGTCACTGTCTCCAAGACTCCCCCGGACTCGGCTTTCTGAGGCCCTGGCTGATCTGCAGCCTCTCAGCACTAAATCCATCAGGGCTCACACTTCCTTTCATTACCAGAACGGCCAGGCTCCCTGTGGGCCGGCTCTGCCATCTCAGGGCCTGACCCGCCGTGGAGAACATTCCCAGGAACAAGCCCAGCCCCACTCTCAGCTCTCTCCCTCCAAGGAACTGACTGGGGGCTGCTGGGGGCAGCAGTCGGACAGAGATGCTCTCAGAGCCTCACAGTGTGTGGGAAAATTGTTCCCGCAGGCCCAAGGGCCCGGATTCCAGGATGTAATTTCTAGCAATCATCCCTGAACCCATGAGAAGTGAGGCTAAGGTTGGCCCTTGACAACAGTGAGGGGTGAGTTTGTTCGGAGCGTGATGATTTCTGCAGCCCAGGCTCAGGGAGAACGATTTGGAGAAGGACACTGAGGCCAGGAGGCAGCAGAGCCAGGTGGTGCCTGGGGCCGACGCCGGCTTGCTGGTTGCCTGTGTCAAGCCAGGCTCCCCCAGGGAGGATGTGGGCATGTTCCCATGGGCCCAGCTGCCTGTTCAACAAAGATCTGAAAACCTCACCTCCTCCAGCATCCGAGGAATGTCTGGTGGGTTCACAAAAGGGCGTGAAGGAGAACATCCCCCTTCCTTTCCGCTGGGGGGAGCAGCAGGAAGAGGGCGGTGTTCTCACAGCCTCCTCCACCACGTGTCTGGGGCCGTCAGCAGCAGCCCTGACATCCCTTGAAGCCACAATCAGCGCACTTTGAAGGGAAGCTTGGAGGGCTGGTGGGGTGTCTGTGGGCATGTCTGTGTGTATCTCTGTGTCTCTGCCTATGTCTGTTTGCACGTTTGTATGTCTGTGTGTGTATCTGTAACTGTGTATTTTTTTTTTTTTTGAGACGGAGTTTCGCTCTTGTTACCCAGGCTGGAGTGCAATGGCGCGATCTCGGCTCACCGCAACCTCCATCTCCTGGGTTCAGGCAATTCTCCTGCCCCAGCCTCCTGAGTAGCTGGGACTACAGGCACGCACCACCATGCCCAGCTAATTTTTTGTATTTTTAGTAGAGACGGGGTTTCACCATGTTGACCAGGATGGTCTCGATCTCTTGACCTCGTGATCCACCCGCCTCGGCCTCCCACAGTGCTGGGATTACAGGCTTGAGCCACCGCGCCCGGCCAACTGTGTATTTTTGTATGTGTGTCTGCAGGCGTGTGTTTCCTTTGTTTTTTAAGAGACACGGTCTTACTCTGTTACCTAGGCTGGAGTGCAGCGGTACAATCTTAGCTTACTGCAGCCTCAACCTCCCGGGCTTAAGTGATCCTCACACTTCAGCCTTTCCAGTAGCTGGGACTACAGGCGTGCACCTGGCTAATTTTAAATTTTCTGTAGGGAAAAGACCCCATTAGACCCAAGGCAGAAGCAAAAAGCCTCAGCCTATTTCCATATAAATAATGAAGAAGATAGTAACTAGAAATATAACTGTGGTAGTTATTATTCACATGTGATCTTAATTCTTTTACTAATGCCTCTCAGGTCAGAAGTGTGAACCTGGGGTGATGCTGTGAAATGAATGACACTAAGGCAAGATGCTCTAAGCCCTCTGTCATGCCCGCGTAAGGGCTGCTGGAGGGTGCCTTGGCTGTGCGGCAGTGCCAGCCCTCGGAAAGCGCCCGCTGTTTAGCCAGTTAGGGAAGGAGCTGTCCAAAATGACTGAGACTTCTCCTTCCCTGGAGGAGTTAGGAGAAAACTCCGCTTCTCCAAACTCTTGTGGCAAGGCCTGCTGGCTGTCAGGGAGGCCCACAGACATCCGGGGTTAACCGTCTCTACGTGATGCTGTGCTTCAGTGCTCATATTCCATGTCTACTCTCATGTTCCACTTCTGCACCTGGTTCCTTTTGTCTTAGAAAAGATAATCAGTAGCAGTAATACAAATCTTAATGTTTTAGTTCTTTCTTGATAAGTATGGAAAAGGTGCTGATGCATTATGCTCCTTACTTCACTTCGGGTCCCAGAAATTCCTGAGCCCCTACCTGAATGACATGTGATGTACTTGACCCTATCACTGCCAGTCCTATCTATCCTGCCCCCAGCCTCCGACCACCAAGACCACGCCCTACCTACCCTGTCCCCAGATTTGCAACTCAGTAAGAGTGAGAGCGTCCAGGCATTCCAGGCCACTGCAGGTCTCCGCGATCTGGGTAGCAGTGGACCCCTGGGCCCAAACTCTCTTTTCTCGATCTTTGTGTTTTGTGCCTTTTATTGCTACAATTTCTTGTCTCTGCACCAGCTGGGAGGGGCTCACAGAACCATGCAGGACTGGACCCTACAATTTTCTGTAGAGACAGGCCCCTACGTTGCCCAGGCTGCTTGTGTTTCCTCGTGTGTGTGTGCTTGTGTGGCATGTCCCTGTGTGCTTGTGTGTGTCTGTGTTTGCACGTCTTTGTGTGTGTCTGCATGTACGTTATTGTGTATGTGTGGGGGGTGGGAATGGTGCAGGGCCCTGGGGTCTGTGGGATGGATGGTTCCACCAGCTACCAGCTTTGCCACAGTCCACAAGGCCTGCCCCAGGACCGGGCATGAGGCTGGCTTTCTAGGGGAGAGACAGGATAGGAGACCCGACAGAAAGCTCTAGTGCTCGAACTGCGTCCCGACCCTCTTCACCCCTTCTTGACTGTCATCATTAAGCATCCCAGCTGCAGAACTCCCTTTTTTGGTTTCTGTTGGAAATTATACCCCAGAGATAAGAGAGCCTTCCAAACATGCCCCTAATAAGGCAAAAGGGGCTTCACGTAAGAGCAGAGAGCGTTCATTTCCAATTTCTGCAATTTTCATTTCAAAGGGAAAATAAACCAGCAAGCAATGTCAAACAATTTCATCACAAAATTCCGGCGCTGCTTGCTGCTGCTTGGGGTGAAGCGGGCACCTCTTTTAAAGGAGATGCTGCCGAAGCAAAGCGTCCCTTCCCCCACCCACGGCTTCTCCCTTAGATGGGATTGAGTGGCCTCCACCCCCTGCCGGGATGAGCTGTAAGTGGGGGTGGGGGAGGCTGGCCTTCTAGGGTGGAAAGGAGTGGGCTTGGATTTGGAGGGGGAGCCAGACAGTCAGATGTGCACAGCAGCAATGCTGCAGCCCCTGGGACCCAGCTCATCATCTGTCAAAGCCTCCTCCCCAGAGACCAAGGGATGTGGAGGTGAACATAGTGCCTTCGGTCTCTCTCTCAGCTGCTTTGACTGCTGTCAAAAAGTAATTACAGGAGGGGCTTGAGGAGGGCAATGTATTCGACTGTAATGAAGCTAAACACCCTGAATATTCAGGCAGATTCCAAACCACCCCATCCTTGTGGCCCCAGAATGTCAGAGCAAGGGCTGTGGAGTCACTGCTAAGCAGGGGGTGGTGGGAGGCAGAGAAGCAGAACCTTCCAGAAAGTTTCCCAGCCAGCTGGATGGAGAACTGCAGGGATGGGCAGACATGGGAAGTGGAAGAGGGGACTGGACTGGAATCTTGGCTCTGCCATTTAGAGTTGGGTGACCTCAGGTAAGTCACCTCACCTCTCTGTGCCTCAGTTTCCTCATCTGTAAAGTGGGAACAGCAAGTGTGACAGGCAGCCTCCGAGATGGCTCTCAGTGATCCCTACTTCCTGGCCTTCACACCCCTGTGTAGACCCACACACTGTAGTAGGACTGGTCTGTGTGACCAACAGAACATGGCGGAGCGATGGTGCCACTTCCGAGCTTAGGTTGTAAAAGTGACTGGCTTCCTTCTTGGCCTCACTCTCTGATCATTTGCTCTGGGCGTGGCCAGCTATCAGGTGAGGACACTCAAACAGCCCTATGGACAGAAGCCCATGTGGCCAGGTGCAGCCATGGGACTGAGCCCTGGTCAACCCTCAGGTGACTGCAGCCCCAGCTGACACCTTGATTGCAACCTCAGGAGATCCTGGGCCAGAGCCTCAGAAGAGCCACCCCCAGATTCCTGACTCACAGGCACTGCGATAATTCATGTTTGTTACTTTAAGCTGCTAGATTCTGGGATGATTTGTTACATGACAATAGATAACTGGCACCCCACGGCCCATGATGAGTATTCCGTAACTGGACACCATGTGAAGGACTTAGCACAGCACCTGCTACAGAGCCCACGACTCAATAAATGGTGGCAGATAGTCTGGTACAGCTATAGACCCCCTCCTCAAAAGAATGTTTTTAGGTGTCTGAAATAAAATACACTATTCCTCACAGTTCCATCCACAGACATCTTGGTGGGAGGCCATGTATCCCGAGTTAAAAACTCTCCTGCCTTGGTCTGTTGGCCAGGTTGTCTGGAGTTGTATCCCAGTTTCACCATGGACAAGCAGTGTGTGCTTGGGGTCTTTAAACCAGGAGGATTAGAGAGAAAACATAGTTAAGTCACTGTGGTGATGTTACCGTTACTAAGGCCTCCCCCTCCCCCTTCATGCTAAGCAGAGCCTCTGGCAGGCAGAGTGCTGAGGCTTACATGTGCTGAGACGCGTTGGGGAAGAGGCATGAATACTGTGGGGCTGAATCCTCGGGGCCGTGGGGGGCTGCATGGCTGATGACCATGAGGACTGGCCTGTGCGGGTACATCTTCTTGGACGTGCGGAAGAAGCTCACGCTGTTGTTGGTGATGAGGTCTGTGAGGTAATCCTGGGGAGTGGGGAGAGACAGGAGAACAGGTGAGGAGCCGGGTATTCATACTGGTGTCTGCTATGTGCCAGGCACCGTGCTAGGCTTTGGGGACATAACAGTGAACAAAACAATCCCTGCCCTCATGGAGCTGACAGTCTAGGGAACAGACAGACAAGAAATAAGCAAAATAAATGGAATGCCAAACAAATGATGCAAATGGTGCTAAGCTCATTAGAGATAAAGCAGAGAAGTGGGTAGGGAGGACAGGGCAGGAACTGCAATGTATCATTCATGATAGATATTAAAATAATAGGCTGGGTGGGATGGCTCACACCTGTGATCTCAGCACTTTGGGAGGCTGCGGTGGGTGGATCACCAGAGGTCAGGAGTTTGAGACCAGCCTGGCCAACATGGTAAAACCCACCTCTACTAAAAATACAAAATTAGGTAGGCATGGTGGTGGGCACCTTTAAGCCCAGCTACTCAGAAGGCTGAGGCATGAGAATCACTTGAACACAGGAGGTGGAGGCTGCAGTGAGTCGAGATTGTGCCATTGGACTCCAGTATTGGTGACAAAGTAAGACTCTGACTCAAAAAAAAAAAAAAAGATATTAAAAGAACAATAGCTAACACTATTGAGTGCTTATGATGTGCCAAGGACTGTTCTGTGTTTACCTGTATTTGCTCACTTAATTCTTATGTAACTATAGAAAGTAGGTATGATAATAATCCTTATTTTACAGAACAGGAAATTAAGGTACACAGAAGTTTAGTAAATTGCTCAATGGTACACAGCTAGTAAATGCTGGACCCAGCACTCCTAAGTCTTGGCTGCTAAGTCTGAAGCTTTTTCAAGGCTCTGGGGACACTGTCATGCAGGGTAGGTATATCCCTAAGTTCCTGGGGTGCCTATGCTGGGGCAGGAACAGATACATGTGTAAATAAAGAACCAAGGTAGTTAAAAGGTGTGATAGATGAAGGAAATATAATAAAACAGAGAGCTGTAACAAAAAGGCACATATTTTAGCTGGGGCAGTCAAGGAGGGCAACTCTGAGGAGGTGACATTTCAGTTGAGACCTGAATGATAAGGAGCTGGCATAGGAAGATCTACATCACTGGATTTTGCCAGAGTACCCTGGAGAGCTTTCTGATACCTAGGACCCCGAGATTCTGATTGGATTGGCCTGCGGTTTGGCCCAGGTATCAGACTTTTAAAAAACTCTCCAGGGGATTCTAATGTGTATTCAGGATTGAGAATCACTGATCCAGGGGAAGAGTTCCAGGAAGAGATAACATGGTTCTGAGGCAGGAATGAGATTGCAACCTGTCCTAGAAATAGAAAAGAAGGCATATGGCAACTGGCTCCTTGGAAAGAGGGTAAAATGTCAGAGGGTAAAATGCAGAGATGATACAAGGAGCAGCACAAAAAAAAGGAATGGGGATGCAGCAAAGTCTTCAGGAAAGGAACTGACTTACATATTGGGCAAGAAAAGAGAAGAGTTGGAGGAAAAGTAAATGGTCAGAACTGGAGGCTTTAAAAGCTCAGCTAAGAAGTTGAGATTTGCCTAAACTTTGGTCAGGATCTTGGTCAATTATCTAGACTGAAGTGCAGTGGTGAAATCATGGCTCACTGCAGCCTCCATCTCCCAGGCTCAAGTGATCCTCCCACATTACTGGGATTACAGGCATGAGCCACAGCACCCATACAACTCTTCCTGAACTTAGTAAATCTTTAGCTGCTAATCTTTCTTGAAGGTAACGGGTTCTTGAAATTTACCCTCTGCTAGAAAGCAGCTCTGCCCAAGACAATCACTTCAAAAAGTGATTATTTTTGAGAAAAAAAGGTGAAGAGGCGGCTACACCTTCTACCCTGAAGTATACAACATATATACATACTATGATTTATTCGTACATCTACAGACACTCTTTCAGGTATACTCATCCACCACATCTATATGTGCAAGAAGGGTCACTGCAATATTGTTTATAAGACAAAAACATTGCAGTGACCAGGAGGATGTATGTATAATAATATACATGTATATATATTATACACACACATACATATTAAAGACAAGGTCTTGCTCTGTCGCTTAGTCTGGAGTACAGTGGCACAATCATGGCTCAGTGTAACCGTGAGGTCCTCAGCTCAAGTGATCCTCCTGCCTCAGCCTTCTGACTAGCTAGAACTATACACATGTGCCACCACACCCAGCTAATTTTTCCATTTTATTTTTTATTTTGTAGAGAGACAGGGTCTCTACAAAGAGAGTCTTGAGTGTCTAACAGTGGTTAGCCCAAGTGGATACAGCTAGCAAGTGGTTGCCCAGGCTGATCTCCAACTCCTGGTCTCAAGCAATCCTCCTGCCTCAGCCTCCCAAAGTGTCGGTATTAAGGCATAAGCCAACACACCTGGTGGCGCTGCTGCCATACTGTGCAATGCTACACAGACATTAAAAAGGCAGTTAGATTTGTAGTTACTTATATGTAAAGTTGTCCAAGGTACATGGTTAAGGGTAAGAGCAAGCAATAGAGTCAAACCCAGAAACATTCTGTTTTTTTGTGGTGGCAGAGGGAAGGGAGGATGAAGAGGAGAAACCAAATTCTAACCTCGTATATTTTTCAGCATCAAGGAAAAATCTGGAAGGATAGATATCAAAAATGCTTATTGAAGACTGGGAAAGGGGGAGAGAAGCAGAGAAAGTCACTTGCTACTTTATGTACTGCTCCTTGAATATTGTTTATGGATTAATTTTGGGGAGTAAAAACAATTTTATAAGGGGGCTCTATAGAATTTATTACATAAAATAATATGTTACATAAATCAAAGAGCTACTGGTATAGTTTTGGAACATGATCTAAAGGTATTAGAGAAGTTCTTAAAACAACAACAAAGGTAACTTACAGTGGATGGTGCAAAGCTCTGTACCTTGAAATCAACAGTCAGGGCCTGAAGGGGTCAAGTCAGAAAATGGCATGAGAACGAGGTGGAACCACCAGCAGACACTTGCTGCCACCCACCAGTGGGGTGGGGTGGGAAGCCACCATTGCTCTTCATAATAGACTCATCTTCACTACTTCATCTTAGAACTATATGACTGTTTGGCCGTGGTTAAACTTTTTAAAAAACAAAGCTACCATTAACCTCCATTCCTAGGAGAGGATACTCAATGGGCTTATAAAGCAGTGAGAAAGGGCAGAGCTACGTGGATGAACATGAATCAAACATGGATAAATCTTACAATGTTATATTGGGTGAGAACAGCAGGTCGTGGAAAGACGTGTATGGTATGCTATCATTTATAAAAGGTCTAAGGACATACACACAGCATCGTATGTTGTTTGAGATATCTGCATATAGGATGAAAGAATCAGGGCATGTGTGGGAAGAAGCTCCAGGATACCGGCTACCTTCAGGGAAGGGTTCAGGCCGGGGGAGGAGTGAGACCTAGGAGGGTAGGTCAAGGGCTCCCACAGTCTCGTGTGGAAGTGTGTATGGGGTGATTATGGTACCTGCCTCTCAAGACTGGCAGGCGGGTTGAAGTGCTGAGAGATGTGAAGCTCTTGCCAATATGTCCTGTGCACAGCCAGCTCTCTGTCACTGTTCAGCTAAGAATTGGGACTGTCTTGGTGGCTGGGCAGTTTCTCCATGTATGAGAGCTCCCCTCCTTATCCATCCTTCTCAATGAATGGCCACTCCTCGGCTAAGTCTTCCCCAGTCTCTGCTGACTCCGTGGGACCCCTACAATCCCTATATGACAGACCTGCCTCCAAAGCTGCCACCCTGCTCCGCTGGTGGGCAGGTAGTGCTGGGCCGGTCAACACAGCTGTCCATCCCTCCAGCCACAGGGCTTCAGCCACAGGGGCCTGGACCAGAGTGGTGGGGGGTGACATCCAGTGATGCCTGGGGACAGCCAGGACACAGCCATTGAGTGGGTGCAGGTTACTGGAGGGGCAGGCGACCCCCATTCCCTGTTGGTCTCTAGTTTGGGCAGTTAGGGGAAGGGTGCAGGGAAGGGCCTGGGCTGGTGGAAAGTCCAAGTTGAGATATGAACAAGCTGCGTTTGGGGTGCCCAGGGTGAGCCACAAGGAAGGATTCTGAAATTCAGAGCTGTGAGCAGAAGGATGAGGCGAGTGGGGGCCACGTAGGCACCAGGCACGTTTTCCAGAACCCGGCGTCCGGGAGTCAGGCTCTCCCTGGGTACTCCTGGCCTGTGCAGCTCCATGGAGCTGGGAAGCCACAGCTGGGACCCCCAGGTGCATCCCGCCCCCTCTGGCACCCTCTGAGCCTCAGGTGATTCCTGGAGGCACCCACAGGCTTCACCGACTGAGCAGCCATGTCTGCAGAGACTGCCAGCTTTGGACCTCGGCAAATGCATGTTTCCCTCAAGTGGGCACTCAGCACCGTTTCCTTCCAAGGCTGAGGCAGTGTGTGTGGGCAGCGGTGGCTCCACGGGCTCCAGAAAACTCGTGAACATAGGCTCTTAGTGTTACCAAGTATCTTAGCTCAGTGACCGTCACAGCAACTTTGACAAATGGACATTGGACCCATTTTACAGGTAAGGAAGTGAGGTTCCAAAGCGAGTAAGCCATGCACCCAGAGTTCGAGCCAAGGCCTTTGTGTTTTTGGGTCAGGCCCATCTCCACCCCTCCACAAACAAAATTATTGTTGAGAAGCATCCACAGTGGTTTAGAGCAGGGATGCACAAGCAGATCCTGTAGAGGGCTGGGCAGTAAATATTTCAGGCTTTGCAGGCCCCATGTCTCAGGTGCAACTACTCATTACTGCCATTGTGGCTTGCAAACAGCCAGCAGGAAAATGAATGGGCATGCCCGTGCTCCAGTAAAGCTTTACGTATGGATGAATGTAATTTCATATATTTTTCACGTCATAAAAATCACTCTCTTAAAAGCTTTACTGTAGTAAAAAAACATGAGCAGTACGCTTTTGAACAAAGTTTATGTGTGAAGCAGAGTACTGTGAACGCTAAGCAGCACGCTGTACGGCAGATCGCTG